CTTTGATACTGATTCCTCCGCTATGCTAAGTGAATGAGCGCTTTTCTCTGAATGCCTGAATGTATCGTCTGTTTTTGATATTGATTCTGCGTTTTTTCTCGTTTCACGTTTTTTACCATATTCTGCAGCTTTATCTAATTTGTTTATTATTTTACGTTTTGGTGAAGATAATTCCTTTAGTGCCAATGAAAATGTCGTTGAAGTTGCTATACACAAATGTGGTTCGAATGCATCATCACTAGTTCTCAATGCAAGCAGTATTTCTTTTGAATTTGATTTCGTTGAACTACTGCCACCAACGTCACCATCACCATCTAATAAATTACACATCATATTTGTATATTCCCTTTGTTTTTTCATTTCCTGCCGATTATCAGTCTACAAAAGGCAACATATCAAAGAATGGTTCGTACGTTTTTTCAATAATGATGCATACTTTAGCCGCCAATCTGTCTATTTGCGCATTTTGATTTTGAATTTCATATTCCATATCACGAGCCAGTTCTTTTAATCGTGCAATTGATGTACTAACGTGCTGTTCGACTTGTTGCTGTTCTTGTTGTTGTTGTGCGTCTGTGATAATGTCTCCGGATAATACTGGTGACTTTTCTGGAAACACCTGTAGCGAGTCATAATCAACATTATCCAACGCAAATCCAGTCCCATCAAAATCAAATCCCATGGAAAATTCTTCACCATCGTATGGACATGCCATGAACTTTGTTTCGGACTTACTAACTTGCTCTATCTCTTGTTGTTGTGTAGGTGTGGTACTAGCTCTCGATAATACTGTTGACTTTGCTGAAAACATGTCCATGTCCTCATCAGAACTATAATTATCGTACATGCCCATGCCCAATTTTATGTCTTCTTCACCTTGGGACTCATCGTGGTATGGATATGCTAGAGATTTTAAACTTACTTTAACTTTAGCACAGTTAGTCCGAGAGGGTGAGCTATATCCTTAACGAGATAAGATCTTCATCGGGCTACAGTTATATCCCGATCAACTATATATCTTGAATGGACTATTTCTTTTTATAGAGGCATATAACTGACTAAACCTTTCATTCAGATCTAACTCTGAAAAATTTGTCCTGATCAGGATATTTCCGCTTTGGTGAATATGTTGTACTTCGCAAACCACGACATTTTGTTGAGGCTCTAGAAATATTTATTGAACTTCAAAAGTTTTCGGCAGGCACCGAATCTCTAGAAGTCGGCTTTTAGGTTGGAAAAAGATGTTTTGCGTTGTTTGCCCTAAAGATCGAGTTGTAAAAAGTTATGTTTAGCAGATAAAGTTCAGGAAATTGAATTTCTTACATTTCGTGTTCCAGACTCAATTTGAGAAATACCTTTTTCGTGGTAAAAAATTGAAAACTACCTTAAAAATGGTGTTTTTTCACTATGAAGGAGATCTTTTCCAACCTTGAGCCTAGAAGATGAAATGTAGGAAATTAAATTTTCTGTATTTTATCTGCTAAACGTAACTTTGTGCAACTCAGACTTCGCGGTGCAAAACGATAACCTCTGTTTCTCATCATTTACAACAAGACAGTTTTTCACTAGTTTCATCTAGTTGAATATTGCCTTACACTAGATGCCCGATTCATCGGCCAATTTAATGATAAGATTGAATGGAATTGACTTAACTTTAAAACGGTGTTCAAGTGTTAAAGTAGAAGAATCGATTGATATATTCCTCCATGCATCCCCCAGCACAGTGAACTAAGTAACGGCACCGGGCGATTTCACGAGCATCTCATGTGAAGCAAATACACAATTAAGATACATTTCCCGCTATATTGTACGATGAATCGGGTTACAATCGCCACTAGGTACATCTAGAAATGAATCAGCTGTATTCAGATGTATCGTGGGAAGATATTTATCCTGTTCGGAAATAGCTCATACTTTCGGACTAACAGTGTGAAATTTTTCTGTAATCTGACAAAAAGTTCAAAATTTTACCTTTTCAAAGAAAGAACAATTTCTCGAATTTTTCTCTCATCGAGGAAAATTTTGGTGTGACTGTATACACTTCATCTCTTTGTGTATTATCAAAATCAGTTAATTTAGCGTTTTCAAACAACTATGTGGATGTATTTACTATTGGTCTTACCGTCAGCTTGCAGCGTCAATTCTTCGAAATCATCTGATTTTCTACTCTTTTGCTCTGCTTCTTTTATTTTTAGGCAATTATCCAAATTCTTCTCACTTAAAAAGACAAGAATACAGAATATGAATAATTTATCGCTTCCATATCAATTATATTACATTTCATTAAATACATGTTCCATTGAATTCATACGCTTTTCAATTGTTGTTTGTTCTTCGTGTGTTGAATTATTCATTTCAGTTTTGACATCTAAACAGAAAAATGTGATATATAAAGAAAACTCGAAACAAAGATGTATTTTGTATATACCATTTTTCATTTGCTTTACAAGTTTTATAGCTGTTTCTGGATCTTTTAATGAATAACAGTATGTTTCAATTAATGTTAGCATTGCATCAAATTTTTCTTGACATTGACAATATGAAACGTTGTTACATAATGATATTAAGTCTGGACATAAATCAATTTTGCGTTGTATTGATGCAGATTCAATTGATTTCTTAACATTCATAATTTTTTCTTTCATTGATGCTAACTATAAAAAGACAGACTATCAGCATCAACGTTTGGGATGTATAGGTAGAACTTTTCTATGCTTCATCTGCATCTTATGAGGAAACTAAATTCATAACCTACATGTGTCAGTCATATGTAAATGAGGTGAGATTTAGAGTTTCGCATGTCTCAAAAAACACATTTATAAACATGCATTCCCCTATTATTTTGCAATTTAGCAGGTGGTTTCACAACGAAGAGCTCTAATCGACATGGCCTATTTCAGATATCACACTCTATTTATCAGTCTCAAAGTTGTTTACACCGAATAGTATTCAACAACTTGTTTTAGTGGCTGGAGATAACGTTAAACCCACCGCGCTGTGCCAATGTGCCCTTTCCAGTGCTGTCAGAATGTATGACAGTAAGATCTTCATCGAACGTGTCTGCAAGCGTTTTAGGTAGTTTCCCGAATGCGCAGAAAAACTGACTAACCCTGTAACTTTGTATTATCTATCAATACAAAATCGATAGAAAAGCAGTTCCAACGCGCCGAGGTTATAGAGCGAACATTTCCGATCGGAATAAGGCGTCTCCCAAGTCCAGACAATGTTCCAACCAAAAGTTATAAGAATTTTCAATAGAGACCCTAAATATGCATCTTACACTTGTGCTGCTTTACATCAAGAGCGAACTTCACGTTTCCACCTCAGGATTTCTCCATAACCGATTGATGTAAAGAGTTCTCACTAGTTTTAAAATAAAACTAACATATGCGGCTAGAGGTTAATAGAGCCCGATTTTTGATATTCATTCTAGATTTGTGACAAGAGAAATATTTTTGTGCAAATTAACGAGACTTTTTCGATTTTTGGACTTATGACACTAAGCATTAGTATAATAGTAAAATATCAAAAATCTGGCCCTATTAGCCTAAAGCCATATGTGTTATTGTCAGTTTGAGATTCTCTCCACGACGCTTCGTTACCGAAACATCTCACAGCTATGAACAGTCCCATCGTGGCTCCTACCTGAGCAATATCTCTGAAACAGTAACTTCGTCAAACTTTTACGAGAAGAGTGCAATCATAAGAAGAGCATTTCCTGAAAGTTTGGTGCAGACCAGACTTTTAGTTAAGGCGCGCGTAATTCAAAGTTACCACGCATTTTTATTTTTAATTCAAATAGATATATTCTGGTAGAGCAAAGTGTGCTGATCACGAATATCGCCGTCCGAGTTTAAAAAAATACCATCTTCGGGGAGAAAGACCCGAAATACTAAGCTCGGGTCAAAAGCACGAAAAAGCGCATCTTTTCAGAAAATGTGCTGTCGCCATTTCAGATTGCATTTTAACTTTTTTTAACTAATATTTTCAGATTCTACATCGAAAAGTGAATCTAGAAAACTATGTTTTAAAGTTTTTCAGCAGAAACTAAAAAACATATCAAGAGGTTCAACCAGCGGAACTCGAAGTTCGACCCATCGATCTTGCAAAAACATCAAGTCCTTAGGGTTGTGAGCTAGCGACCTGACTCTTTCGCCATAAGAGTTGCTATGAAATTTAGAATAAAGTTATATGTGTACATTTTTGAATTTGTTCTTCAGCATAGGGAAAAAAGATAAACATTGAAAAACGGCGCGTTTTGCCCAAAATCGACTAAGTGATTTTTTCCTAAAACCTTGCATTTCCGTTCAAATCGCGTCAAAGTCATAGTGTATACCTTAAAAACGATGACAAATCTGATGCAAGTCATTTCAAGGTTTTTGAGCTGGTCTTTGGAGAGTCTCTGGGAAACCTACAGCAAAACATCGCGGAATTTCACACACTACACTCGAATTTTCAGTTTTCAGTTATTCATTGATCTATCACATGTGTCTTTATATCAAAGTCTTGATTAGAAATAAAATTTTACAAAAGCGTATCACGAAATAAAAAAGATCTGCGCTTTTGCTCATCTACACAAGAAAAAGAAAACTGTTCTAAAAATACAAATCATTCTTAACACAAAATAAACTCTATTTCTGTAAGAAATAAATGTTTAATACAAGAGCCAATATATCATCAACGAACCCAACTTCACAACGTTTCAAAACAACAAATCTGGTGCACGTACGTTGTCTCAATGCACTTGCTATAGTGAATCATCAAATGCGCCCGGCGGTTGAGTTCTTCTGTTGTAAAGTAACTGGTATTTGTTTGTGTCTGTTGTAGACGTGCGCAAATACAGTGAACAGTCCTTTCCAAAAATGATAAATTTGATTAGTGAAGCGCGTCGCAATTTTGAAGCGAAAAAAATTGATCGTAAACTTGTTTTGCTGTAGGTTTTCCAGAGACCCTCCAAAGACCAGCTTGAAATAACTTGCATCAGATTTGTCATTGTTTTTAAGGTATACACTATGACTTTGACGCGATTTGAACGGAAATTCAAGGTTTTAGGAAAAAATCACTTACGAGGTAACCTATCCAACTGTCGGACGCCGTTTGACTCCATATTTTGGCTATAAGTAGGACTCAGTGAGACTAAGAAAATCCTAAAAGGGTTCGGGCCC